TTTTCGTGGCTCCTTGTTAGAATAAACACCACTCCTGCAGTGGATTCCTGTCCTTTGTGATCAAAACCATTGATATTTAATGACACTGAAAAATTTTGCTTTGCAAAACTCATGGTAACTGAAGATACACTCATTGGGACACTCATTTCAGTGCCCTAGAGTTTACTGTTCTCTTCAGTCTATTTGCATTTCTGTCAATCCCTCTAAATTATATTCTATTCTTGGTATGTTGTTAAGTGCTGAATTTTGAATTTGAAATCAGTTCTGACTCATAGCAACCCTGAAGAGCATTTCTTCCAGGGAATGGCTCATGGGTTTGAACTATCAACCAGACCCGTTGTTTACCCTACAACACCATACTAGGATAGGACTTGGTTTCAGTGATTTTAAAATTATGCTCCAGACCTCCAAATCCCATTTAACATCTGTGCTAAATCTTCCTTCAAATTAAAACACTCATTAAGAGTGAGCATATGGCTAATTCTTTCAGTCTCTCAGATTACTCAAGTGTGGCACTGAGAGTTAAATGTGCTGGACTGCAAAGTTGATTTGAACTTCAAGGTTAGCGATTCAAGTTCACCAGCCACAGCCCTGGGAACCATACACAGGGTTGCTGTGAATTAAAATTGACTTGATGGCATTTAACACCACATACATACACTTCTTGGTTCTTTCCTGATAAATAACTAGGATCCCCCCCTTACTCTCCGTCCCCCGTTGGTTTGAACCCCAAGGTCGATGAGTCAAAATCACCAGCTGCTCCTTGGAAGTCCTATACAGGGTCAGTGGATCAGAACTGACTAAGGTACTTAACAAGATGGTCTGTAATGCATGTTGAAGACAGCATGGAAAGCCCTGGTGTAGGATACGCACTCCTTCAAACAACTCCACGGCACTAACTAAGTGGTGAATGCTGTTTCCAGAACAATTACATCTTTAAGCTGAGCTCATTAAATAACTATTTCCATATTTGTCACCTTCCACAAAATATCTCGTCAAGCTGACAAAGATTTTACTGAACAGTACTTGTTAATGTAGTTTGGTATCAGTCTCATTTTTTACCTTCCATCTTCATTCTCATGGACAAAATAAAATGCTACTAAGTGTTATTTTGCTCAGATCAACCATCAGCACTCATGGAAGCAGCAGTCATGAAATCAAATGACATATTGCATTAGGCAAATCTGAGGCAAGTGACTGCTTTGAAGTGTTAAAAGAGCCAAGGTATCAGTCTGAGGACAGAGGTGCGCCTAGCCCAAACCATGGTATTTTCAACAACCTCATATATACATGTGAAAGTTGGACCTTCAAAGAATTGATGCATTTGAGTTACAGTGTTGGAGAACAGTATTAAAAGTACCATGGTCTGTTAGAACAACAAATCTGTATTGTGAAAAGTTCAATCCAGGATGGTCAGACATTGTCTCTCATACTTGAGGCATATTATCAGGAGAGACAGGTCCCTAGAGGAGGACATTATGCTTGGTAAAGTGGAAAGTCAAGTGAAAAAGAGTTAGAACCATAATGAGATGGATTGGCATGGCACAGTGGGAACAGCAAAAAGCTGATGTAGAGCAATGATTATGAGCTTGGCAAAGGGCCAGGTAGTATTCTGTTCCGTTGTGCATAGGGTCATGATGAGTCAGCACCTAACAAAGTAGTCTGGTGGACAGGTTTAGTGATATTACCATGAGGGTCAAATGGTTGGCTGGGTTATAATTTTCTGTTCTACTCCATTCTTCAATTTCCACAACTGACTTCATTTATTCCATTTATTAACAAACTTTTCTATTCCGTGCTTATCTTATAGCACCACATTTTAGAGATTGCCAAAGCCATCAATATAAATATTTGCTAGGATTCTCAAAAGACATTTTATCGTATGCTTTGAATGGTGTTTCCTTTACTACAATACTAGAGCCTGTTTGTTGTTAGGGCTATCGGGTCTCACAGTGACCTTATATAGGATTTCTGAGAAGTGGCTGCTGACTCTAAACCACTGATTTTGCAGCTCAAAGACTAGCAGCATAAATTTCAAAATATCAGAGTTTACTGGGAAAAAAAAAAAATATATATATATAGTATTAAACTGCATACATCTGTTTTTTAAGATTTTTTTAAAAAATTCTACATCTGGAAATACTACAGATCAGCATTGTATGCCACATTATTTTTGTAATATAAAAATGGAACATACCAATGCATTTCGGACTAACACTGAAATGCCTTCTCACAAGATGTTGAAATAATAAGTGTATTATTTTGAAAACCTTCCTTGTATATCATGGCAGCTGAAGTTAAAGAATACTTTGAATTATATTTGGCATTGTTTTACTGAGATTTTTAAATACAAATATTGCTAACATGGAATGCGCACCAAGAATCAAACCACAGTGTTTTTTAAAACTTGTATCACTGCCACGGGATATTCTATCAACTACATGAAGAAATTTAATAAACAGCAGCCTGAAAAGTGTGAAATGGCTCCTTCCCATCAAGAAGAACTAGATATTTATTTTGACATTTTAACAATAATCTGACACACCCATAGAATTTATAAGAGTGTGTGGTCTGCTGATTGGGCTTTTCCATGGTTTCCCTTCAATATCTAGATTCCTATGGAATTAAAAGCAACCAACAATCTCACATAACACCAAAAGAAATAAAATCTAGATATACCTTTCTGTGCCAGGAAGGGAGTTCTAACTTTCAGTTCAGGCCTAATTTTACTACAGTACCATTTAAATACTGGTAACTAATAATGTATCATCTTAAACAGACAGGTTTTATTAGCAACTTAAAATGTTTTTAACTTTCTTCAAAGAACCTAATTAATTATACTGTAACAGACTATGTGTTAAAGAGTCTGTGTAACCAGAAAAGACCATGAGGCAAGTAAAGTAGTTTTTACTGTCAATAAAGACCAGTTACTTATATTGAGTAAGGGAAATATTAATAAGGACATGCCTTTTACAGACTGTGGCTATTCCACAGCTAAGCTTGCTGTAGTAAGTAGGCTATATCATGAATTCCTTTGCTGCAACTATGAAACAATGACAACTGCCTGAGGAATTCAATTTTGTGCACAAGAAAATAGCCAAACTGTTTCTGGCTCTACCAGAAAAGTTGAACTATATAAAATATAAACAAACTGAGTCTTCAGTTCCAGGACTAAATAATCAGCTCTCTTTAAAAAACAAAAAACCCATCTTTTAAGTGGTTATACGCTGCTAATCTTAAGGAACTCTGGTAGTGTAGTGGTTACGAATCGGGCTGCGAACCGCAAGGTCAGCAGTTCAAAACTACCAGCTGTTCTGCGGGAGAAAGATGAAGCGTTCTGCTCCCGTAAACATTTACAGCCTTAGAAACCCTATGCAGGGTCACTATGAGTCGGAACTGACTCCACGGCATATAACAACAACAACAATCTTACAGTCAGCAATTCGAAACACCAGCCGCTCCACAGGAGAAAAGATGAAGCTTTCTGCTCCTGTATAAAGATTTGATTTACAGCCTCAGAAACCCTATACACCAAGGTTGCTATGAGTCAGAAACAACTCCATGGCACACCACCACAACTAAAAATCACTGTAATTAATGAAGTTCTGACGGAGTGACAGAAATGTCAACAATACTTCCTTACAAAAAGTAACAAATTTTTAAGTTCTCACACTTATGGTCTAGGTAACTGGGTAGACACAGGCTACAGTAAATGAGAAAAGAGCTATCTTTCTTATACATTGAGACAGACAAGGAGCTAAGAGGCTATAAACAGTAACTGAAAGGGCAAAAAGAAAAAGAATTGTCATTCTCCTGTTGATGAAATTTAGCTCAAATTTTTATGTGTAAGCCTCTTCTATAAAGGGCCATGTTACTTTGCACATAGCAAAAACAATGTCAGCTGGACCACAAAGCATGAACAGAGATTAGAGTTTGAGAACTATCCTACGAAATGTACTTCTGCAAAACAATCTCCATTCTACAATAGTTGCTTGTCTCCTGAATGCAACATCACCTCCTCGAAAGAAATATAATTTGAGTAGTGTATGTTGATATGCAAAACAGTCCTGGTATGGTACACTGTGGTGAGTCCTGGTGTTGCAGTGTGGTGATAAAGCACTGGACACCAAGATCGGTGGTTCAAACTTACCAGCTACTCCTTGGAAACCATATACAGCATCGCTGAGTTGGAACCAACTAACAATGCTGACATACACAATAATGATGACTCCAAGCAAATATAACTAGTACATTCTAAGGGTTTTATGGAAGCCAACTGTAAAAGAATCTGACATGAAGAATTATAAAATACAAAATAAAAACCAGGGTAGTTTTTTTTCTCCAAATACCTGGTTTAATAAGGACTTGTTTATAGAGAAAAAAAGGTCCCAAACATCAGGCTGTTCACAAAAATAACCCACAGTATCAACTTTAGAAAACAAATCTTAAAAGACTATTACACTATTTTTCTAGAGGATGCATTTGACATGCCAACTCTCATTCACAAAAAAATACATTGTTACATTTGTGTTGAACAGCCCCCACACAGTGCTTATGTGGGGTATAACACACATACTTCTAACTCAAAGCTGTTCTCAAGTTCTACCCAACTAAATGAGATTGCCTGTGCAGTTAGGGAAACAGCTACTGAACTCATATATAAATGGAAATAACTGTACTCCCTGCATAACAAGAGATTATTTTGGAGACAGATGATAAAAACCATACATCCTTTTTATTGTTAAGTCAAAGAGGTATCAAAATTAAAAGCAAAAATTACAGGGTAAGACTTAACATAACTATTAGGAGCGTCAAAGGAAGTGAAAATGGGACCAGGCGCAGGGCAATATGAATGACTGAACGCGGGAAGGACAAGGATGGGGAGAACAGTGAGCATGTGGCTGAAGATACTAGGGGAGAGGATCTGGTGAAAAATATGACCTTAGACAAGCGCCTAGGTAAAGAAATAATGGGATAACATTTCTAAGCCCACTATGTGCTTAAGAGTCATCCTCGCCATTGGCGCTGTCTCTGTCATCCTCTCCTTCCTCAGCCTCTTTTTCATCATCCTTGATCAACTCCAGCTGTGAGAAACAGACACAAATAGGATGGAGTTAGAGGCACTCCATGTGTCCCTTATCCCCCCTCCACCACCTCTTTCTTTCCTTTCCCATAGTTTTCACCTGATCATCCCCCCGATCTTCATTATCATCATCATCCAGTAGGTCCCCCTCCTCAGCAGAGTCATCTGCATCCCCCTCAGACTCCATCTTCACATTAATCTCATCTTTCTTCAGGGAGCTGCTGCTCTGCTCCTCTTCGGATTTATCATTCTTCATCTCTACTGGGGATGAGAAGGACAAGTCTGTCTAGGGGCAAGGAATGTCCACAGGATGCAGACAATCCCCACTAATGACTGCAGAACTGTAGCACAAGTCTAAATCCTCCCACACAAAAGCTCTTCCCATTTCAGTCTCCCTAGGTTATATATTCAATTGCTTTGTAAGTCACTATTCGAACACATAGTTTCAACAATCTTAGGTAACCAACCCAACTTTAAACCCAATAAAAATTTACCTCCTTGTTTGCTTTGCTCCTTTTCAATTTTTTCCAGGCTTTCCAATAGAGAATCCACTTTTTGTTTAATCTGGGTCAACTCCTTCTTAATGGTCTGAAGGTCATCTCCTTTCACTTTAACATAAACAAACACTTAGATCAGAATCAAATGAAATAGACACTACCGGGACCAAATACATTCCCAATAGACTACACACCAGCAACCAACAGGAGATCCCTATGAAGAAAGGGAGTCTTAACTAGTAACAGACACATTCACCTTCTAGATGACAACGGAAAACTGAGATCTAATGGGTTAGTGCCCCCTCCCCCACCCTTAGTAGTAGTCTCCTGATTTATTAAACCAGCAAGACCAAACCAGCCATTATGAGTCAATTCTAACTCATGGTGACTACATGTTTCATAGCATAAGTTCATGTCATAAAGGATTCAATATATTATCATCTTTCAGAAGCAGATCTCCAGGCCTTTCTTTCCAAAGGGTCTCTTGGGGTATTTGAACACCCAACCTTTGGACTGGACGTCAAGGGCTTAACTTTAGCACTACCCATAGTCTCCTACTGACCTTGCTAAAGATCTCAATTCTATTTTAAAGCACCTTTTCTATAATAAAGTAAAAATGAAAACAAATGTTCATATGAATACTGTATGAATTTACTTCTAGAACTGCACAAAGAAACACTGTAAATGTAATTTAACAAATCAACTTTCTAGAGCCCAATGGCTTAATTCAAATTACCTAATTGTTACGGATAGGAAAAGTCTAGAATTGGCTCCTCAAGTCCAATATTCACCACCTATTATTACTCTAATAATATAAAACCAAATGCACAAAAAAAAAGAAAAAAAGAATTCAACCTTATGACTGCATTAACTTCCTGTGTCACCAAGTAAGAAACATCAAAACCAGAAAGTTGCTGTAATACATACATTTTCCAGACTTGGAAGAAGATCCCCTCTGTCCACTTTTAGAATTGAAGCCACTTTTGCCCCTCCGTGAGGTGTTTCCTGATACACGCTGGCGTTTTGAGGGCACTACAGCCCGTGCAATAGGAGGAGGAGGAGGAACACGTGCTGGATAGCTGTACATCCTATTGGAGATAAGCAAAACAGAATTCCTTCACACCAGTAAGATCTAAAAATACAGTGACCTTATACAACAATAAACACCCATCTGTCTCATTTCTATTATTACTATTAATTTCATTCAAAAAGTATTAAGCAAAATGATCTGCTCTTTAATGCTACTATTTTGAATATGGCAACTATTTTTCTACAAGAATGTTTTATACATACACACACACATATTCAAATAATACTGAGTCCGGTGTAGTGCATTAGGATAAGCATCAGACCATAACAGAGTTTCAAACTAACAGCCAATTCTTGGGAAATCTTCAAGAGTCATTATTAAGTTGAAACGGACTCAAAGGCACTTCACAACAATCCATTAATAGGATTGTGTAATCCTGACACACAGGATTCAGAAAAGGTTCCCTTGTACAAACATAAACAGTAGAGCCATTCTCTCTTTTTTTTTTTAAACTATGAATGAAGCTCTGTATCTTGTATAAATTCTCATACAAAGTATTCATTTAAAAGGGTTGCAATTAAATACTAGGTTTGCAAAAGCAGAAAAAAATCCTGAATCATCTTACCAACGGAAAAAAAATCATCAATGCCAATTTAACAATAGTTTAAAACACAAAAAGCTGTTAGCGTAGTGGTTACAAATTGAGTTGCTAACTTCAAGGTCAGCAGTTCAAAATTACCAGTCTTTCCAAGAGAGAAAGATGAGGCTTTCTGCTCCTGTAAAGATTTACAGCCTTGGAAACCCTATACAGAGTTGCTATGAGTCAGAACTGACTCCACAGTATGAAACACATAATAATATTGATCATTGTTTACCTATAAAAGAAAACATCTCTAAGCTGAAGCCATGAGAGCAAAACTGGAGCTCTAATACATAACCAATTCTTTAAAAACAAACTCACTGCAATTGAGTGAAATTCTGACTCATAGCAATCCCATAGGATAAGAGTAGAACCACACCATCTGGTTTCTTTAAGAAAGCAGGCTGTCTCATCTTTCTCACAGTGGCTGCTAACGTTTCAGTTAGCAGGTGAGCTCTTTAACCATACAAAACCAGGGCTCCTTAACAACTCCTGATTACTCACAAATTAAACTTCATTCCATGATCCAACCAGGAAGGGACCATATTATTTATCTCGTACAAGAGTGTCTGAACCCATTGCCAGCTACATATTTGGCAAACAATAAATAGCTGTTTGAATAAATACTGTTTCCAGAACAATTTTAAACTATAAATGTCTCACATTAATAGTTATGATCCTAATAATGGGTAAAAACACACAAGACTTGAATTTGCCTCTTTTGCATTTGTGAAAAGAAAATTCAAAACACATTATATGCTCTATGCATTTAAAAGGCGTCCTAGTGTAGCACACTGTAGGATAAGCACTCAACAATACAGGCCAGTTTTAACCAAAAAAAGGTCAGTGCATTCAAACCAGCAGCTCCTGAAAAACTCTATGCAGGGGGTTCCCTATGACTCAGAAGGGACTGAACAGCACTTAATTAACAATGTATTTTAAAAGATTAGTTAGTTGTTCCAAAGGGCTTTAGGAGTTGCTGTTTAAATAAAAACGGACTTTTAAAATTACAGTGAAGAACAATTGGGCATAAGTGAAAGGGCCGAAGGGGACAGAGATAAGTAAGATATATACACAACCTTGGAAAGGCAGGGCTCTGAGATACAGGGATTGAGTCATGATTGGAAAGGGGGGGTGGTACCATGTTAGGATGCTGGAATGTTTCTTCATTATGTGACTAACCAAGGGG